CACTAGTCTACCAACGTATGTATACATTACAGGTAAACAATTACAATGGCTTTAACTTTTAAATGAAACTGCTGATTGTGAGGGAGGCACAAGAGTTCCGTTGGCAACCTGCGGTCTGCTCCTGAACAGATGGGATCATAGTCGGCTCAGCGGGCGCTGGATGAAACCCTCGACATGCATAGTTGCAAGGTCCTTTTGGCCGGTTGTCGACCGCGGGCGGTGAAGGGAGCCTCGCCAACTTTCGATTCTTAGAGATGTATTGACCGGACGTTGTCCTTTAGGCACCCACGCGGTGTGACTTCATATCGTAATGTGGGCTTTGCCACCTACCTTTGTAATCGATATTCATAAATGAAATAAAATATGCCTATTTACTTATATAAGGGAAAAATTGAAGAGGATGAAGAAAATAATAAACGTAAAGCTAAAAATAAAGACAAATACGAAGAAAAATATAAGAATAAGTAATATAAGGATAAAGAGATTTTCGGGATTCTCGGGACTGAAACAAGATTTTCAAGACTATTTCGGGATTCTCGGGACTATTTCGGATTTTCGAGACCATTTCGGAGTTTTCGTTATATTTATCGATATTGTTTTCGATATACATATCGATATTGTTATCGACATAATAATCAATTTTGATATCGATATATATATATCGATATTGTTATCGAAGTAATAAATGATATTTTTATCGATACGAAAAACGATATTGTTATTGATATATTTATGATCATATTTAACGATACTATTTTTGTATATATTATAATAGATTTTGTTATCGACATTTTAATCATTTTATTTATCGACCTTTAATCGATTTTGTTATCGATATTTTTCCATTTTGTTATCGATATTTTTATAGATTTTTTGTATTGGTATTTTTTAGATGTTGCCTGTTATCGATTATGTTATTCATACTTTTATCGATGATTATATTAACTAGGTTGTCATTTTATTTGCAATTTTGAACCAATAAAATGCATACATATGTACATATGTAGGTAGTATATATGTATATTGGTTATGAGACAAACTAGATATGTAGCGTGAGTTTCACTTCTCCAGTGTGGCTCAGGCGCACTTACTTTTATTTTGTTAATTTTTCTCTGAAAACTGGCGCTTTAAATCCATATACGAATTAAGCTGGTTCCTTGCAGATGGTTTGAAAAATAATAGATACTAGAGTGCCAGTTACTGTCGAAATTCTACAGTTTTTCTAGTTTTAGAAGCCTTGGAGAGGTTTACTAACTTAACACGTAGCAATTATTCTTATCCGAGAAGGTCTTTGGAGGACTTCGGCAGGACTTCGAATTGACCCGATACATTTAAGTTTATCGATAAATTTCAATGATTTGATACATATCGAAAGTTCGATGAATTTTAAGAACACTAAAATTCGATAACTCAACAAAATTCGTTAACTCGACCAATTTCGATAACTGTAAAACTCGATGGCTCGATAAATTTCGATAACTCAAAAAAGTAAAAACTTTGGATGCCTTTATAAATTTCACATTTTTCGAAAACTATCTAAACATTTTGATAACTCGTTCCACTTTGTTGAGGCGATTAAATTCGATAAGCAGTGATATGTCGATAAGCTTATATAACCTTGAAATTTCGATAAATCGGTATATTTTGAAAATTCCATAAACTTCGATTCATTGAACCAACCAATTTCAGTAGATCAATAATTATCGATAACTCTGTAAGTTGAAAGAACTCCATGCATTACGACATCTCGATAAATTTCGTTAAGTCTATAAATAATGATAATTCAATAAATATCGATAACTTGATACATTTCTTTAACTTGACAAATTTCTTTACTCCCACGCGTTTTTATAGCTGGATAACTATCCGTAAATTTGGACAACTAAGTTTCTGTGTCTATAAATTTCGACAACTCAGTAAACATTGATCAGTTGGAATAATTCGATACGTTGCGATAATAAACTTCGATGATTCGATAAATTTCAGTAACCTTTATGGCTGATTTTATTTCGATTCCTATCGGAAAATTTCAACTCTGTTAACCTAATTCTCATGTATTTCTCATTGTCTCAATTTTCGCCTTTATCTCAATTTTCGTCTTTATCTTCACTTTTGCCTTTTTGTGTCTTCATCGTTATCACTTGTTTCTTCATCTTCATATTTATCTTTATTTCAAAGTTTAATTTCAAATACGAAGTAAAACAAAATGCGAAACAGCTTAAATTGTACAGGTTGCAAAAACAACCATACACAAATATGAAAATTTTTAAAAGACGATTTTCAACCAATTTCGAAACTATAAAAACTCTCCTTATCTACAGAAAATTACCTTTCCAACGGTGTTTTTGGTTTTGAAATCGGTAACTTTACCTTGGTCTTCATCTTTGCTTTTATCTTTCACATCTTTGCTTATATCCTTTTCCTTTTCTATTCACGTAGATGAGATGAGGTGCGATGATGTGATAAGACGTGGCGTGATTTTATGTGATGTGATAGGATGTCATGTCATGTGTTGTCATATCCTCTGATGTCATACCATATGATGTCATATCATGTAATGCCATGTCATGTCATACGATGTCAGATGATGTGATGTCAAGTCATGTGAAGTCATGCCATATAATGTGATGTAATATCATATAATGTCATGTCACGTGATATCAAGTGATGTGATATCATATTATGTGATGTAATATCGTGTGATGTGTTGCCATGTAATGTGATCACATTCCATGTTCCGATTAGTATATCGATAATCCTGTTGATAACTGTGTCGATAAAAATACCGATAACAATATCCATAGAGATAGAAAAATACAACGATTGTAAAATCGATTAATTCATCGATAAATACAACAATCTTCAGTATCGATTGTTGTACATATCGTTAACAATATAAATGACTAAATCGATAACAAAATCAATTATTTAATCGATTATTATGCCGATAACAATATCCATTATTGTATCGATAACAATATCGATTATTATATTGATTATTATATCGATTGAAATAGCGGTTATTTAATCAATAACAGTATCGATAACAATATCGATTATTTTATCGATAGCAATATCGATTACTATATCGATAAAAATATCGAGTTTTATATCGATAACAATATCGATCTTCATCCTCATCCTTTTCTTAATATTTATCTTTATTTTTGCATATTCCTCTTCACCTTTACCTTAAAGTGTTTAAATTTACTTTGATCTTCGTTTTTGCCTGTACCTCTAGGCATCTTTGTTTTTGTTTTTATTCTCAAACAACGGAGACAAAATTTATGTTAGCGTATTAATATATAGATTTCTAAGTTTCTAATAGAAAAATGTCCTAATGAAAAATCAACTGAGTTTTTGAGATAAAAAAATCTGTGACCTATTCCATTAGTGCACAAATATTCATCAAATAAAAGTGACACAAATATGAAAAAACAAATTTCATTTTGCACTACTATTATTCTAATCGATTGCAAAAGCATCAGAATGAAAGCAAAACGCGGCAAGCACTCTACTAAATACTAAAACTTTAATATTATGAGTGCTTCAAGAAATCGCATCAACAAGTGCATAAAGCATATTCAACGCATAAAATACTCCGTGAAATCGTTAGTACCCACTTGGTGGCGACTAACAAAGCACTGCCAAAAGCGCAGCAAAGAATCATGAAAATATTTGTGAAATTCCAAAATTTCTACTTGGACGCAGCTCATCAGACGTGCCTCGCTGAATTTACCATAGCGCGCTGCCAAAAGGCACAAGGAGACAAGACGGCGAAAAAAAAACAAATAAAAAAAAATCGTAAAACGGAAATAAGCAAATAAAAGTAAAAGAATGAATACGACGTCCAGCTATGGAAATTATGTCTACAAAGGAAATTTTCATGATATTTTCAATTGTTGTTAAAGTCTGAGTTGCAGCCAGAAAAAATACGCAAAAATTTCTATGGAAGTATTTAAATATGTATGCAGGAATGTCAGAAAGAAAGGTCAGCACTCAACTCTAAAGAAGTTTAGAAAGAAAGTCAAAGCTTTGTTGAGATATGGAAATTGCGCTTGCAGCGCGAAGTTGGGGAATAGGAAAATGTTCATACACATTTTTGGCGAAATGTTGGGCTGTGGTGTGTGGACTGAAAGGGCGGAAAAAATATGAAGTTATTTGCGGCAAGTCTGCGCAAAATTTTTTCGTGCTTCGTTGGCTCTTGTTTTTTTAATTTTTTTTTATTTCCTTTTTGGAATCCTCTCATATTATAATCTGTCGTAAATTTTTGTTCTTTTAAAACATTTTGTTTTTTTATTTTTTTTTTATTGAAGCTGCATTACTTTTTCGGGTCTAGCATTATGTCCTTGCTTGTTCGCCGTGGTTTTCATATTTTTTATGAGCTTAGCATAATTGCGTTGCCTTTCCACCACATTCTGATCATAATCCAACTTTTAGTGTAAACAAAAAATAAGCGAATATTTTTAAAGGATGTTTTTCGCTGGCCGGAGGTTTTAGGGGAGTTAATTTTTCTTAAGCTTTGACGTGCAATAATTTGTCTATGAGTCATTCATGTCGAGAAAAAAACAAAAAGTAAACTTAATACAGATTTCAAAAATATACAGAAAAAAATAGAAGATAAATTTAGTTTTTACTTGAAAATATAATCTGATTTTTGATTTTGTGGCCACAGCTAAAAAATTTTAAAGGAGCATGTTTTTGCTGAAACCTAGTTTTACTTTAAAATTAAACTTCAAAAATTAAAAAAAAATAAAAAATTAAAAATAAAACCAGTTTCTAGTGTTAAGAAAGCTACCTAGTATGTAGCTAAAGGACATTCATTGGTGTGGAAATCTTAATTACGGATACGAAAATCATCAATTTCCGCAATTAAAAAATTTTGTTAAAACCAAATGTTCTTCATTCTTTAAAGTTTTATTAACTACAAATTTTTTATTTACATATGTACAGACATATTTTCTCTCATTCTGTCCCTGTCTCCCATTTTCTGCTTCCAGTTCCGCCCAACATCGACGACGCCCTCACCTCCAGCGACGTCATTGTGCGCGAAGGTGACAATGTGACGCTGCGTTGCAAGGCGAAAGGTAGCCCAGAGCCATCAATTAGATGGAAACGAGATGACGGCAATAAAATTGTGATCAACAAAACGTACGAAGGTAAGTAGTAGTGTACGAATAAATACTGCATACTTACAAGCAAATTTGATAGTAGCCAAGGAATGTAGTAGATAGTAATTGTCAGGGCACTTAAAAATTGGCATCATTTTACTGCTCCTTTTTTTGCATTTTTCCTTCTGCAATTTGCTATTTGACTTCATGACAATTTTATTGCCATTGCTATGGCCATTTGCTGTGACTTTTTATTGCTAGGGTTGTGGTTAGCTGTAGCTTGTCGTTCGTTGTTGTATTGTTAAGCGATCTTCAAAGAATAGTAAAGGCTGTGTGTGTAGGCTAAGAAAGGAAGAGGGGGAAGGCAAGAAAGAAGAGGAGGTGGAGGGCGAAGAGAACCACAAAAATGCTCTGCACTGTGACTTTTGGTGGCAATTAAATTGTTTTGATTGGTTTGAGTTCAGATTCCATTGCCACTTGGAAGTCGGAAAATTAAAATGTTTGCGAATGTTTTGGTTTTTTGCTTTGCGACAAGATTTTTTTTTTTACAAAAATGAGGGATTTTCGAACTACATATAACATATAAAAAAGAATCAAACGTAGACTACTAGCTGAACGCTTAAAAGTAGTAACTGCATATAACTTTTAAATTATTCAAAAGTGGTCATCAATTTTGGTGCATTTAAAAAATTGTCACGATTTTCGTTTATATTAAACCTAGACATAACTTTTGCGTTATTTAAAAACTATACATATTTTTGTTTTTTATTTGAATCCTAGACTTTAATCTTCCTAAAAAAAAAAAAACAGGACATACATATTTGTTCATATAAAAAACACACAGTTTTGGTTATCTAAGAACTGGACGCAAACTTTTCTTCATTAAAAAACTGGGCAGATTTTTGTTCATATCAAAATTTAATACAAATTGTTTTAAACTCACGACCTTTTTTTCAATTAATAACTTTAAAGAAACGTTTAAAAGTGAACGATGGATATCATATTTTATTATATAATATTTGCTACTTTGGTAATTTAACAGCTTTACATTAATTTTTAGCTACCTACTTAAAAACTAGGTCCAATTTTTTGTTTTGCGCATTCAAAAACCGGCCATAAGTATTTGGTTTTTCAAAATTTCAGGCAGTTTTTTAAGAAATCTCAAAAACGAAAATTTTTCTAATTATTATTAAATTAACAAATTTATGTCCATTCTTCTGATAAAAAAATATTTTAAGATAAATTTTTGTTCAATACAAAGCCTGCCATAAATTCAATAAATTTATTTCTTTATTTTAACTTATCAAATTTTTGTCCACATCGAAAATTATGAAAATTTCATGTATATCTGTTTAACAAAAAAAAAAAAAAACTTTTGGAGATCAATTTTTGTTCAATCAAAACCTGGACATAAATGTTAAGTTTTTCAAATACAGGCATAGTTTTTTTCAACGAATTCATGTTTGGCAGATACATTTTTGTTCAAATCCAAAGTTGCCATAAATATTTAACTTTTTATGGCTTGGTTTTAAGGTACAAAAATCTATATATCCAGTTTTAAAAATTACCAAAATTTCATATCCAGTTTTTTTAATTAAACAAATTTTTGGAGATAAATTTTTCTTTTTTGTTGTTTGTGTTTCCGACAGGGTAGGAGTATGATGTATTGTGGACGATTTTCCATCATCCTTAATACATCAGATCAATTTTTGTTCAATTAAAAGCGGAACATAAATGTTTAGCTTTCAAAATGCAGACATAGTTTTTTTCAACAAATTCATGTCTACTAACCTGTCCGTCCTTTTGATAAAAAAATGTTTGCAGATAAATTTTTGATCAATTCAAAGCTTTGTGCGCATTTTTAAAAATTTATTTCTGGTTTTTAAAGTATCAAAATTTATGTCCAGTTTGAAAATTACCTATTTTTTTCTTAAGAAACACAATTTTTGGAGATCAATTTGTGCTCATTTAAAAGTTTGGCATAAATTTTTATTTGTCTATTTTATTGTGGCTTATTAACATTTTATTTTTAATATATTTTAATAATATTTTATACCACGATTATATTTATTCGTAAAAATGGAAAAACGAAGCGGTAAAAGTTATAGCAGCTATTTCGGAGTTCATCACATCTCTTCATCAGACCTCTTTTTTTTTAGACTTCAGCAGGGATCGAACCCGCGTCATCGATGTGCAAAGTCAGAAGCGTTAACCACTGAGCTATGCATACCCCGTAAACTCTAAAAAAAAAATTTTAGTTTTTCGAAACTCAGGCTTAGTTGTTTCTTACGATTACATTCTTTTAATAAATTTTTGCAGATCAATTTTTGTCCAATTCAAAACTGATCATAAATTTTTAAATATTTTTTTCTTGTTTTTAATCGACCAAAATTTATTTCCATTTTGAAAATACCAATATTTCATTTCCAGCTTTTTAAATAAAAACAATTTTTTCAGATAAATTTTTGTTCAATCAAAATCTCGCCATAAAATTTTAGTTTTTCTAAATTCACGCATAGTTTTTTAAACAAATTCATGTTTAGTTTTAAAATTGCCAAAATTGCATGTACAGCATTTAAAGAAAAAGATAAATTTCGAGTTAAAAAATATGTCCAGATTTTAAATTACCAAAAAATATGTGCAGTTTATAGGTAACCAAAAAGAAGCTTAATATTCATAAAGGCAGTAAATTAACTTATGAATGGCATAGCCCACTTTTGAATGAAAACATTGCCTCGAATTTCCACTACCTCTTGAAGCACTGGAAAGTGCATAACTCAACTCCACTTTCTTAACCAACTCAGAGTAGGCGCCTGAATTTCTTGTATGTTTATGCTCGAAGGCTTTCTCAACCATAATAGCCAACTGCTTTGTTTACATTCCATTAAAAACTAATAAGCAAACTGCAATACCTTTAAGTTACATGCCTACAAGCAGGTACACATACACAAGCGTACATGCCTACATACTTTTACTGTCCATGTGTGTACGAACAAAAAGCTGCAATGTGCTAAACTTTGCAATTCTAAAGCCTTGCTGTCATAGTAGCATCGGCAACAATTGCAATCGGAACTTTGTCAGCATGCCACTTCACACAACTTTCGATGAAAAACAACTTGCAACACTGGCAACAATTGTAACAATGTACAAATTTGCCAGCATAAGTCAGTTGTTGTGGCTTTCAGTCGACGGCGGCGTCGTCGTCGTCGTCGTTGGCCATCATCAATTCTTGTATGGCATGAAAATTTTCAAGTGCACACAATAGCCTTTTGTAAAACTTGCATACGCACGCATTAAGTAAGTGTGCGAAATTTCATGTAAAGAGGATGTTCGAGATGAATATAGGTATTTGTATAGAGCACATCACTTTTGCCACCGCTATGGCAGGTTTACATGCTACTTACTTTAGTTCGGTGAAAGTTCTGAGTACGAGCAGCGTACAACTTTTACACACACACACGCACACACACACACACGGGTACATACATATCTACATACATTCCTACTATAAGTATGGCAATATTTTCCGCAATTGTTAATCATGCGCTCGGTGTTCGCCACAATACTACAACTGCTCAGACGTACGCATACCTACAAGCTATCTTTATCAACAACTAACTTTTATTTGAATCTATGCCCAGGAATGCAATATCTCTGCCGGAAATTTTCACTTGCAATACATTTCCTTTTTTTTTTTTTTATTGCACTCTAATTTTACTAATTCACACTTTACTTACTTTCAGTTATTGAAGTGGACGGTGAAGCCTTGGAGCTGGAGCGTATTTCTCGTCTACATATGGGCGCTTATTTGTGTATTGCCACTAATGGTGTGCCGCCCAGCGTTTCGAAGCGCATTAAAGTGAGCGTTGATTGTAAGTTAAATAAAATTTAATTATTTATTTATAAGCTATATAATACATACATATGTATATACATATATGTATAAGGTTTTCTTAATTAAGCTACTCAATCGGCGATTTCTACTACACTCTTTAAAGAAAAACTGAAGCAAATATTTAATTGCTGAGATATTCCATACTGATGGCAATCATTTTAGCTCAGTCTTATATGGTGTTCACATGAGGCAATTTTTAGTTGAAAGCAACAGTCGCCTGGTGTGAACGGCCTCCAATGAAATTTTCGGGGCAGCCAATTTTTGGTTCAACTAATCCCCTATAAAATTGCCTGTAAAATCGCTTCATGATAACACCGTATTACCGACTCGTTAGCTTTGTATCAACTTACGATTTACAATCATAAAGAAATACATACTTACATTCCATATATTCATCTAGAAGTAACTGCGAATTTTTCCTATTTACTTAGAAATATTTTTGACTGTTAACGTTCATCACTATTTTACTCTTACAGTTTCGCCAATGGTTTGGATACCCCATCAACTAGTTGGAATTCCCATGTATTTCAATGTTACTTTAGAATGTTTCATCGAAGCCAATCCCACTTCATTGAATTACTGGACACGTGAAAACGATCAGATGATTACAGAGTCGGCAAAGTACAAGTGAGTAATAGGTTTAAGAAAATACATATATATTTTTTTTAAGATTAGATTATGTGTACAAATATGTATGTATAAACATGTGTATAAATACGTATATGCATGTACTTTAGTACGAGGGCAATCTGAAAAATCAGTGACTTTTTGAACTTGGCGCGCAGCAAATTCAACTGCATTACTGCTTTCTACAACTAAATTCATTACCGAAATCAGGGAAAGGCTTGATAAATAATATGTGATTCTACATTTTCATTTTCGATGGTTATAAATTAGTTTCCCGAGTTTTGTTGTTTTCTTACGAAGATAAGTGAGACTCCGAAAAAGGTCGTCACGCCAGAAATCGTCGAAAAAATTCATTGAATGATATTGGACGATCGGAGAATAAAAGTGTAGTTTAGACTACATATGTTGACTACCCTTTTAGAGCAACAGAAGCCAAATCAAACATTTTTAGAATTTTTGTCTGTCTGTCTGCACGCGTATCACTCAAAAACTAATCAATGGAATTGAACTCAGTTTCGCAGATGTATTGTTTCAGGTCTAACTTAAAATATACAAGAGAAAATTAGAGTTGCCACCTGTTTGAAAATTTTAGTTCAGGTAAATTTATAGGATAAATTAAATATTGCAAAAAAATATGATTGCCAAAAGAAAGTTTTCTGCCGAAAACATTTTTGTGGAAGGTTGCCACCTGTTTGAAAATTTTAATTTAATAAAATTAAGAGATAAATTATTTATTGCAACATGTGTATCAAACTAAAGAGATTTAGCAAAGTGCCGAAAATATTTCTAAGAGGATGCCACCTGTTTCAAAAATTTTATTCATTTAAGTTTATAAAATAAATGAAATATTACAATACGGGTGTTTAACTAAAGGGATTTAAGAAAGTTTAGTGTCGAACATTTTTTTGAAGCGTGTTGCCACCTATTTGAAAATTTTAACTTAGTCAAATTGGTAAGATGAGGTAAATATTGAATTACATAGTACACCTTTGAAGAAAGTGCGCGATATAAGAGAGTCACTCACTCTCATTAAAATTCCAATCCGATAATGTGCTGGATTTCGAATTCATTTTGACGGCTAAACACATTAGATAACGACGGTTCCGTTTTGCTTTAAAATGCCCTAGTTGTCGAATCGAATACTAACCTATTTCACATTCATTATCGAAGGTGAAACTTGAAAAAAAAAAGATTTGTTTTCCAATCATTTTCGAATTATTAACCAAGCCTAATGTTTATTGGGTCGTTATCGAAGATGTTTTACCTGTATTTAGTGTTAATTATACATTGAGAAACTGGCCCTTAATCAGGGGAAGTTTCGGTAGTTGGTGACCATTTGTATGTTGACTTGCTTGGAGATCTAGTCCATATAATGCATACCTATGTATAAACAATATTTAAAATATTTAGCGCTTTAAAACGCGTATGAAGTTAAAAAAAAAAATCGATGTTAACGCTTTAATTCCCCTTGGTATGCAACTCTACTTAATTACTGCTAATAAGTACAAATTGCTGATTTTCTCTGAGGTGTGATTGATTGACTCCAAAATGCATAACGAAATTGCTGTCAAAAAGCATTGACTTGTAAAATATTTTTATGATACACGAATATAAAGAGTTTTGAGATTTGAAATCTTTTGCTAATGAATTTCTTTCTTGCAAAATTTCACACCAAAAAATCAAGTCACACAAGTACATTCAACTGCCTGCTGTGAACTTCAAAAGATTTTTCAATCAGTGGTTAATTTCTGTATCGTTTCAAAGTGGCATTGACTTGCGGAACCAATGCTGCGGAGGCATGCTTACAATTCTTCTTCCGCTAAAGCTCGCAATACATACATACACATTTATGTACGTATTATAAGGCACCATAACCCAGAAAGAAATGCGTTAGCAACAAGCAAAGACACAGAAATAGAAGTCGATTAAAGTAATTCGGATTTTAACAGTGGCTACTTAAGAGAGCGCTTATTGTTTAAGACCTTTATTTACATATGTACATCTATATAACTTTAAAACCAAATAATTATATAATTCCGATATTTATTTCGTTATGAAAGACTTTCCTACAGGATACAATCGTTGCAGTTTATTCGTATGAACTTATATTCCCACACTTCAGAGCACAAGCTGGGTGTGGTATTATCAGCAAAAGGGCAAGCGCCGGTTCTTAGCGCACACTTTGTACTGGCAGCAATTGTAAAAAAAATACAAACAAAGAACGCATACTTACACCGACCGCTTTTTAAGATGTGAGCTGTGCTTTTGTTTAGTATTTTTCTTCTTGTTTTCTTAGGTGTTCAGCGTATTACCGCATATTATCACCATAGCCGCTGCACACTTATTATTAATAAATATGTATACACAAAAACATGCATTAGGGTAGGTCTCATATTTTTTTTTTAAGGAAATGTAAGACGTTCTTGGAGAAATAAATATACGAGCATTTTTTTTAAGAGTTGTAAACTGATTTAAGAAGATTTGATAGCATTTTTAATAAATTTTTCGTTTTTCTTCAGAGCTGCATGAAGGGCATACATAAAAGAGAAAATAAATCAGTGGAACTTTGATTTTATTTTTCTGTAAATTTTACGTGAAAATACTTATGAAATTTATGAAAAATTGTGCAGACTTGAATGACCCCTTCATGCCAAGTAGTATACAAACTGGATTTTTAAAAATGTGCATTTTTATAAAACCTAAAATGGAATTTTCGTAAGATTTCTGCTTTCAATTAACACTAAGTTTAAATCAAAGTTTAAATTTGAATAGTGGACACTGTTTTGATCATTTAAAAAACAAATTTTTATTAAGTATTTTTTTTATAATTTTTTTTAATAAATTTTTTTTTAACCATTTGTTTATAAAAAAAGTCATCTTTTTAATACAAAAGGGTTGTTTCATGGCGTTCCATCCGTTGAGAGCCCATAACAAATATGAGTTTTATAATAAAAAGTATAACTTTCTAGTAAACTTTTGTCGTGAATTATTTTTGACTACCAAAGGTCCATCACTGTTGCATTTTAAGTTTAACCAATTAAAAAAAAAATATTTATTTAGACTATGAAAATTTCGTCAAAGTCCCGAAAATTTGCAAAGATTACACGGAGTCAAGAAAATTACTGAAGGATCCCAAAAATACTCTAAAACTACCGGAATGAATTAAAAGAAATACATCTTACTAAATCTCAAAAATTCTGAAAAATTTCCGGAAAATTAATTCAACATTAACGCTGAAAATTAAAATCTTAAAAAATCACGAAAAGACCCCAAAAAATTTCAGTTGAATCCGAAGGAAATACATAAGATCTTATAAACAAAAGATTCCCAGAAAAATTCCGACTGATTGCCGAAATCGTAAAAACGCCGCAAAGCTACTGAAAAAAATCCAAAGTGTCTCGAAAAATATCCGGCAGAGACAACGAATAACTTGAAAAAGCTCCTCAAAAATTTCCGGTGGCTTCGAAGAATTAGTAAACGAAGAATATCGTAAAACGAAAAATTTCAAAAATTCGCAAAAACAGAAATAAAATTCTAAAAACAAAATTGAGAAATGTCCCAAAAAAGTTCCACTAAAGGCCCCAAAAAGAATACTAAAAAAATGTCCAGAATATCCCAAAGAATTTTCCGCAAAATATTCCAAAACTTTTCGCAAACAATTCCGGTTGATAAAATTTTAAAAGGTAGATATTAAAAACACAAGATTGTGAAAAAAAATTTAAAATATAATCCCAAAAATACTAATATTTTGTAAGTCCCAAAAAAACTTCTGAAACATCAACGCAATTTAAAAATTCTAAGACTAATGAGAAAAGTCTCGAGATAACATGAATTATTTATTTAATTTTTTGTGGATTTTGGAAATAAAATTCCAAAGTTTCGCCCAAACGTGATGAGAATTTTACCTTTTTTTATTAAAATCGTTTTTGATATATTTATAGCTGATTAGATCGATATATAGTTATAACTTTTCTATACCAATATTTATCGATTAATGTTGGGATATCTTTGATATACTTAACATCGATTTCTTAACTGTTGTAGATGTATTAAGCAGTGACTTTATCGAAATTTTCTTTGGTAACATTTTCGATTAATTTTACCCGATTTAAGCATAGAAAAGTTTTTCCGATAAATTTATCGGATTCGGTAAATATAATACTCGCTATCGAACAGTCCAGTTTTTTTATAACAATTTCAATGGACTTCTGCACAAACAATTAGCTTAAGCTCTGACTCAATTTCCACTTCATCACAAGAAAAGTTGAGTCTAATCTTAAGCGTTTGCTTTTTATGCGAGAGCCACAAAGCCTTATCGCATTCGCATATACATATGCATACATTTATTCAGTTCCGGTAGCAAAAATTATTAAGCAAAATCAGTGCATAAAATTTGATTCACCCTAGTACTCATATTTAGCAAGATGTATAAATAAGTTAGATTAAAATTTTTGCATTTGATCAAATTACTCGCTAAATGTAAAACAGTCGGTCTGCAGAAATACGACTGGTCTGGCGTGATTGGAATTTGTAAAATATTTGCATTACATTAAAAATATTAAATAAGAAATAATAAATTTCTTGGGAAAAAAGTTAAATCGCGGTAGTATAAAAAGTTGAATAAACAGACGCGACTTCGCCGTTTTTTAAATTCACCGCAACTTGCCAAAAAAAAAAAAAACAAAATGTCTAAACACAACTTTTTGCCACCAACAGCGCTTTTTCTGCGCATTCTCCTCTTGCACACTACTTTCTTCCTAACACACATCGACAGCGCAACCGTGCCGCCCACAGTCAACGTTAATGTGAAGCAAATGCAGGCAATCGAGAGCTACATGGACCTCAACGAGGACCCCTGCGAAAACTACTACGCCTACGCTTGCGGAAATTGGGCGCAACAGCATTCAAGTGGACAATACACCGAGGCGACCAGCCTCATCGATCACAAAGTGAATAAACGTTTAATCGATTACTTTCAAAGCTATCAGCTACAAGCCAGC